TTCAGGAAAGAAGTCTTTAGTCCTAGTCTCCATGATTTAGAGGGCCCTGCTCAGGTCTTCCTCTGGACTTGTCCCCCGCCATTCCTGCCCACTCCATGGTGGGACAAGCGGATGGACTCACCAGGAGTTCTTGCCTCCTCATCTTTTTCATGCTCTATATCTAGGACCCTGATGGGCATGTGCTCCCCTAGGCCCAAGGGATAGTCAATGGGTAGATATTTTGGAGGAACGACAGAGCTTAGACATGGGGGCCCACTGATCTTGGGAGAAAATGTAAAATCCCATTGAAGCAGACACAGGTTTGTAATTGAAAATTATATGATTTGGTTAAGCTGGGGCTTTGTCTAGAGGTTTCTAGCTTTTCCAGACAGTATAGGAACATTTCCAAACCTGAACCACTTCCTGTTCCTATACAGGTAGGTATTTGGGAGATTGTGTGTGAATTTTGAGAGAAAACAAGGTAGGTAAGGAAGAAATGAAAATGCCTGTCTTCCTGAAAAAGTTTAAGAAATACTACAGGTGAGTAATGTTCCTTCAGAACCTGATAACAAAGTGTGCCACGGGGTTGGGGAGAGACTGATGCTTCCTCTATTAGCTTAGAACTCGCCACCACTCTAATAACTCAAAAATGGCAACACTTAGAGCATCAGGTGATGGCATTCTGGGCATGGACCTGGAGATCAGCAAAAGGGTACTCTGGAGATAGAGAAATGAAATTTATTTAAATAGTCTGAAGGACAACAGGCATTAGCCAGGGAGAGGAGAGCAAAGGAAGACAGCTTTCCAGGATGCTACAAGATGACTTGAGGCAACGCATTGGTGACTTCAGGAAACCTCTGGGAAACTCTTTACAGATCTTGCTTGTAGGGCTTCAGTCATTGGCATTTGCTTATTAAAAGTTAATCAATTAATATGAAACAATTTACAGAAAAAATACAAATGACCAACTTCACTAAATAAATACAAATGAAAATATTGAGATAAAATTTTTCTCCAATTAGATTGGCAAAATTCAACAAGATTGATATCATCCTATAGAGAAAGGGATATTCTTATACATGATTCATTAATACCATCAAGGAATTTCAGCTAATGGAACACTAACCCAGGAGCACAAAGACATGTATTACACCACTGTTTATCACAGCAAAAAACTGGACAACATAAATGTCCATCAATAGAGTAATGAGTAAATAAACCATAAGATACATTACAATGGAACATAATGCAATAATTCAATTCAAAAGCTCACTTTAAAAGATGGAAGTTCCTAAGATGGTAAGGAGAAATATGAAAGCTTAAAAACAAACTATATGGATGCATTCCATTAAAAAAAAACTTACACAAGCAGAAGCAAAAGTTAGCTAGCCACAGTTTCATAGATGATAGAAGATGATTTGAGACTTCTGATTCAGAGACTAAGGACAGTTTATTACTCACAGTAACAGCATAGCCACAATTCCCTTAGCCACCATTCCCAGAAGGCAATGTGTCCAGGTGATGTGGCCTCATAAGTGGGTTGTGTCATAGGAGAGGAACCTTGAGCCTAGGGAACCAAAATCTTTTATATTTAGTAAGCCTGCCTGACTTTATCTTTATTATAAGGGAGAGAGACATTATCTTTATCATGCTGCACAGTAAAAACAACAACAACAATGACAAATAGAGATAGACACTAAGACACTATCTCTATCTTCCAAGGCTGCTCACTATACAAATATCCTTTATAGTCCTGAACAAAGAGAGTCAGTGCCTCTTCTCATAAGACATGCAGTAACATGAAAGACTCACGGAGAATTCCGTGAATTCTCAACATTCTATAGTCATTTTCATTTTGTATAAACGAGCAAAAACCCACATCAGTCAATTAAAATGGTATGCTATTTTACCTAAACTTATAACAATGAAAATGTGGATGCTCTGGTCATCAAACACCATAAAAAAATATATCTTTTTGTATGTATAAGAATAAGAGAGGCTATGGCTCAGGGGTAGAGAGCATTTGACTGCACATAAGAATACGATTTGATTGTGGGAGACACATTGCTCATTCTATGCTCATTCTACACAATAGAAAATGGCTGATAATGATTATTTTATCTAATAAGTAATTTTTAGTCACTCAGAAAGATAACATCCAGACTGATCACTGAAACTGTTCAAGACAAAATTAGGAAGAGAATTTTTCAAATTATGTAGCTTTAATGATAGCCATCACATGCATAATTTTTTTTCTCACACATCTTCCACTGAAGAATTGTTCTTAAAAAACAATTACATGTCAACATCTCAACAAGAATCTTTTACTCTGTCAACGATACATACTACCTATCTAGGAGAGTGTAATTAAATAATAGATTTTTGAGGTAAACTTCCAACTTCTTCATTCTACTGTTGAAGAAACTGAGGCCCAGAGACATTAACTGACTCAAAGGTGGCCAACAATTAGTTAACGTCAGAGCTGACACTAAACTCCACATGCCCTGACTTGGAGCACAGGCTCTTTCTTCTTATTCAAACCCACAGACATGATATGATAGAGCTTTCAAACTGGGGTATGCGTACCCCTGCAGGCAATGGCAGCGTGCCAGGGAGGGAAAGCCACAGGATAAACACAGGGTGCCTTGCTTCAATGTAAATATGACTCAAAGATTGGAGGGGAGTTAGGGGGAACCACTTTATTTTTATATTAAAACAAGATTGATTGTAAAGGAGAATTTACATTTTACATGAATTTTTAAAATTTCAGGGTGGATTCCTCAGGCTATAATCCGATTACATGGAGGTAAAAATTCTCTCTGTTCCCTCTGCTAGGGCTACTTCTGTAAAAATTTTATGTCACCAACACGAGGATGTGAAGGAAGGAACTTTTATCCAAGAAGTGCCTTCACTAACCTGCATCTTTCACATTCCATACTTAAATTTGCATCATTTTAGTCCTCTTGATTAGTTAAATTGTAAATTTTTCTTGAAGAGGGAACACATTAAGACTTTATAATAAATGAGTTTCTGAGTTCCTTTCCTAAGAACAGAGCTGGGTTTTTAAAATTTGTTCTTCTCTTCTTAATCAGTGTAAGGTAAAAAGATTTAAACACTAAATCGAGGATAAAATTTTTCAATTTGTTTTTTAGTAGACATTAACTGGTTAGTAGGTTACTTCTGTAAGATGCTCTCTAAAAGTATTTTGCATAGGGTTCCAAAACTCACGTTTGTGTATTGTGCAACATTGAAGTAGTAGTATGCATTTCCATTTTTCTATGTAGTATATTCATGAATGATATCTGAAATGCTATAACATACAGTAGCAGCAAAAATGGGAGACAAGAGGTCAGTAAATTATTTTATACATTGTCTTAGTGGACCATTCCTCTCAACTGATTTTTATTTCTGATATAAAAACCATTTAAACAATAGTTCTCAGATGATTACTCCTTCCACGATAACTTGGAGGATTTTTACCTACCCACATCCACCAGGCCCAAATACTTTTTTTTTGAGGAGGATTAGCTCTGAGCTAACATCTGCTGCCTATCCTCCTCTTTTTGCTGAGGAAGATTGGCCCTGAGCTAACATCTGTGCCCATCTTCCTCTATTTTATACATAGGCTGCCCTCCACAGCATGGCTTGATAAATAGTGTGTAGGTCCTTGCCCAGGACCTGAACTGGCAAATCCCAGGCTGCCGAAGTGGAGCATGTAAACTTAACCACTATGCTACCAGGCCAGGCCCTTGTTTCCTTTTTTTTTTTTTTTTTTGGTAAGGAAGATTTGCCCTAAGCTAACATCAGCTGCCAATCTTCCTCTTTTTGTATGTGGGTCACTGTCACAGCATGGCCACTGACAAACAAGTGGCATAGGTCTGCACCCAGGAATCGAACCCCAGTCACTGAAGCAGAGCACATGGAACTTAACCACTAGGCCACCAGGGCTGGGCTGTAAATACTTTTTAGAAGTACTAAAATAGCATGTGCTTGATTTCTCCACTGAGACATTTTTTAATGCTTCATTCTAACATCAGCACTTTTTGTAATACAAGTAGCCTGAGCCTGACCCATTTCAAAAAGCTACATTTAATTCTGAGATTTCAAATTCAAATTTGGACTCAAGAAACCAACTTATTCCAACTGAATCAACATTTACGGAATGCAATGTGTTAGGCCCTGGCAGAAGATGGCTGATGGCATACTCAGAATCCTGCCTCTAAACTTTCCCAGGCTAAAGGGAACCAAGCTCATCAAACTAAGATCATTCGTCTATGCAACAGGTTCCAATAGAACTAGGGGATACATCAATTTAGAAAAAAGCCTTCAAGATTGGAAAAGACTGGCCAAATAGTGGCTCAACTTACCCATTTTCTGCCAGAAGAAGGACTTCTCAGCTACTGAACCAATATGTACTTATTCTTGGCCAATAAGGTCAGCAAAGAGTTGTATTTTTCTGCGCACCTGGAATCTTGGTGTTTCTTGATGCCACCTCCTTTATCTCCATGCCAGGACTGGGTCTAGGGTGAGCCAAGTGAGGCATTGGCCTTAGTACAAAAATTTAATGGACACCCAAAACTCACCAGTCAAAATTTATATTTTATGCAATACTTTCTTTTATTTTAGAAAATCAAAAGTAATGCAAAAGCATCCATGATGAACACAATGCCAAAATTTTAAATAAAGACAGGATCAGCAGTGCTCATTTTTTCCCTTTGGCCCCAAGCTCCGCTAGGACTCCGCAGGTCACTGCTTCACTCCCACCCTCTACATGTGGACCCTGGTCGCCAGAGACATCTAATTTTCAGAAACCCAAATTTTCTGATATTTAGATCTCAAATCAGAGAAATGATTGTTACTGGGTTACTGCCGCTGGGGTCCTCTGACCCACTCTGGCATAGCTGGTGACCCCATCACTGGCATTCACGGCCCGCCACACCCCGCGCAGGGGAAACGCAAGCGCGTCCGAGGGACGACACGGCGGGTGCAGGGCCACCCGTGCAAACGTCACAGAAGTCAGGGTTGAGCTTCAAATCTTCGCTGGTCTGGATTGGCTTTTAGTCGGCGAGTTTGCGGTAACTGTTTGTAACATAAGAACAATGAGCCGCGGCCCAGGCTGGGTCGATGACAGGTGACGCTGGCGGCCCCGGGGTCCTGATGACCTGGGACCCGAACCATTTGCCCCGCGCCTTCCGACACGAGAAGGGTTCAGCGAGGGCGTCGGCAGCTGCTCTGGAGATCAGCCGCAGGGTAAGCGGCGCCCTCTTCCCCAGACCAGGAGCCCTCAGGGTCCCTGACCCAAGACGCCAGCCCGCAGGAGGCGGCCCCTGGGGTTAGGGCAGGAAAGGGTGGAACCGCAGCGGACCCCGACCCTCCGCTGGGGCCAGAAGTCTGTCTCTTGGGTGGTGTTTGGGGCTGCCCCTGATCCACACTGACAGCCTTATACGGACCTTTTCTCACTTAGCCTCTGCTGCATGTACAACTCTGGCAGTTTAGAGATTAGGTAATAAAGCCATAAATTTGGAATTTTGACTCAACGATAGATATGTATAACCCTGAAATTTTCCCTTAAAGTGCACATTGACACTGAGGAGGAAAGTTTCTTCGACGAACAATACAAGCAGAGTTGAGGGCAGTTAAGATAAAGGTTTAAAGAATACTTGAGTGGGAAAAAATGTCAGAATTGTGCAGCATAGGAGCTAGCAAAGTGTTCTAGGGTTCTCGGACTTGTCTGGAAAGGCTTGGGGCGGCGATGATTAATAGGCTGAGAGCGCTGTAATGAACTCAAGGTTATTCACACCGAGTCCCGGCTAACCTGGGAGCATGCGTGTTGCGTGCGGGTATAGGAATTTATCGGTCATTGCAGTACATAAATCGTCAAAGAGAGGATATTTTTTTCTATAGACTTTAATACAGACTTCATTCTTCTGGGATTTAATAGTCTCACAATTTTCAAAGACTTTTTTCTGTTTTATCTGGATCCTAAGGCATCCGGCAGTGGAGAGAGCTGCTCTAATCTCCCCACACTAGAACTGTCCACACCCCAACACTGTGTTGGATTGTTTTTATTTTCCTGTTTTGTCAGTTAATTTGAAATCTGACTTTTCCCCCTGATCAGGCAACTGAAATTGCCTTCCAAATTCAACAGCGTTTTTGAGTAATCTCCTCTAACGCCCAAGCAACACTGCAGATTCAGATTCCACCTTCTGGAAATCTGCTCTCTCCCACTGTCCTTGTGTGTCTCCTCCTAATTTTACGACCATCCCTCCCCTGTCTCCTTTCCCAGCTTGGTTTCCGCTTCCCCTTTCTAAATGTAGACACTTCACGAAGATCTTACCTGGGTCCCACTCTCTCCTCTGCGCTGACCTGACTCACCCGGCTGCACAGCCCCACCCTGACACGCCTGGTGAGACTTGCTTTCCCACTTGCAGCTTTCTGCACCTTGACCGGCGTGTCCCACCAGCGTCTCAATTTCAGCATTTCTCAAAGTCATCTTCCCTTCCAGTCACCTTTCTCATCATCAAGTCATCGCATTTTTCATCCTCCCCCGTGACTTTGCCTGCCCTTGTTCTCTGCCTCCAGTTTCTTTTTTTTTCTTAAAG